CATTGTTGCATTGTGCACCTGTCCACATTCACCCAGTACTTCCAAAGTAAAAACTAGCTTTCAGTAGCTTATGCTTAATAAAGTGCATGAGAAGTTGACGCAGAAAGTATTTACTTCATGCTGGAAAACCTTCCTTTAAAAAGCTGCAATGGCCTTGTGCTTTTGGGACTTAAGAGTCATTAAGGGACACCACTTCTTACAGAAATCTCTTCAGTTACCACCATGCCCAAATTAGAAATCTCTGGGGAAAGAAAAAGTTAACTCCCCCCCCCGCCCCCTGCAAATCCTCACCTCCTGTAAGCTCAGACACTTGCTAGAATTCAGGAGCTAAAATACCAGAAGAGTTCATCCTTACAAAATATGCTCTGTTTTCTCCAAGCTCTTTATAAACATCCTGGAGGCAAATAAGGTGGATCCAACTATAGCAATAAGAATCAAATTTCTCCGTAATCAGTGTGCTGAGTGCAAACGGGGACTGGAGCAGGATACAGCTCCCTCTCCCTGGTACCCCCACCAGCTCCATCTCTCCATCCTCACTGCTGCCACAGTAGGATGGAAAAAGACCTATCATTCAAATATTAACAACAGCAGTTGGACACGCCTTCCCCTTGCAGAAGAATAATAATTGTTATCAGTCACCAAGTTACTTTATTCAGTTAGCTCTGCTGCTATATTATATCGAGAAGATAATTTATATGCTTGGAAGAATATGCTTTCATTTCAAACTGAAAGCAAACTACTCTAAAAACAAAGTGGAATACAGTAAGGTTGCAAACATCCTTTCACACACCGCCAGTAGATGAGTGTACGTTGTGAGAGATTAGCAACCCAAGTATGAGAAAGCTTAAAGCCTGAAGTGTTTGTCAAGCCCACTTTGAGAGGCAGGTCCTGACGTCTTAAGGTATTAAGTATTGTAAACCATCTCAAGGGCTTAAAGTATTGCTCACATTAACTGCCATTCCAACCGAAGCTGTGAAAATGCAATGTTTTCATGCCTCATCTGTATGACAGACGTTGTGGTAAGGAAGTAGCTTATACTAAATTTGCTGTGCTACCTTCCTCCTCTCTCTGTTCCCCACTCCCAAAAGAGTGCAGCAACAAAATGGCGCAAAGCCATTAGCAGTTGAGCAACTCCTTTCACAACTAAGCAAAATTCTTGGAAATAGAAGAATTCTGGTTTTGATCCAAAAGACTGTTCCTGAATAAATTTGTTACTATGCGACTATGCATCTCCCTTGCCAACTCCAGGTACTCCGAGACATTCAACAGCTGTAAAGCAGTAGTAAGTGCAGCAGGCAAGAGCAGAGGGAACAATATTCAGGACCCAAAACACAAGCGAGCTTTTTCATCGCCCTGAAGCGCTGTGTGCCATATGGCCAATATCCTCCACACTGGCCAGGCTCTCAGCTTTGCTACTTCTGAAGTTGCACTGACGCCAATAAAGGCTGTAACCATGCTGAGCAAAATCCTATTTTTGAACTGTTGCCTTAGTTTATTAAATACCTTAAGATGAATGTTTTTATCAGATAGCTGATCTCACATTTGATTCTTGTGCAAAGTAATCCTGAGGGGCATTGCTTTAAATGCAAGCAAAACAGCTTTCCTGAAGTGAAGCTCAATCCATAAAATTAACTTTCCAAAAGCAATAAATTATCAAGAGAAAAATGACAATCATCTCTACATTTAGCAACCTTAGCATCACATCAGGATACCAACCGCTTCCCAGAACTCCTCCTTTTAGTTTAGGATCGAGGTGCTGGAGGAGCTCTGTGCCAACAGCTGCAGAAGGAAGCAATTCTGTGCAGTGAATTTTGAGCTTTCCTGAGCTTCAACCCACTAATGGAGTTGGTGAGGGTACTCATTTCAATCCCCCCACCACCACCACCCCCTGCAATGCACTAAAAGACAGCCATCATCCCTTAAGTGGGGTGTGTTTATACAGATCTTAAAAGCTATGTCAAATGGTAAGATATCTACAGAAAAAAAAGAAAACAAAAAAGACAATAACTAGCAAATAAAATGTTTCACTGAAAATGATAAAAGCATCTCTTTCCAATTTTGTTTGACATTTGATTTGCATACCAGAACAAAGTTCTTCATTGCTGTTGAGCAGGACTATCTGCTTCATTAGATCCAGAGTAACTTGTTCTATTAAGATACAGGAACACTCTGAGAAACCATGTTGGAAAGACATTGGAAGTGACACTTCCACCTTTCGGGTACAACAAAATCCTGCACCATCAGTTCTCATTCCAGTTTCAGTGTTGGCTGGAAACCAACTTTTTGTCAGAGACAATCCTTCTTGGCAGCAGCCAGAGGGAAGACACAGAACAACTGGGACTTCCTGGCAGTCATAAATTAATTACTTATTCCTGCAATTCTACAGTTAACTCTACCAGTACAATCTCAGCTCTAAGATCTGCTAATATCAATTCCAGAAATGCATTTTATAAAGGCTCCGCCCTCTAATTCGTGCTCTGCTATGGAATAAAAAAAATAAAAATCCCATAATTAAAAAAAATATTATAATCAAGTAATTTATCAATGACACCTCACTCACAGGGGGCTGTTGAGACAGGTACTGTATTCCCTTTCACTCACGAAAAATAGAGTAGTCTACTCTGCCATGCAAGAAAGTGAGGATTGAGGGAAGAGAAGATTCAAAAAAATACTTACTTCTTTCAGAACTGAATCCACGGAAGATCACATCAGAAATAAACCAAAGCAAACCGAAATGCATATATTCTTTAAAAAGCTCATTGCAGTAGCTGAAAAGAAAAATCTGAACAAATTCTTTCAAGCAGAAAAACAACAGCAAAACTAGTACATGCACGTGGGAGGAAGGAATGATAGTTCTAGACTTTTCCATCTCTTTAAATGTCCTTGTCTCCTTACTTCTTACATGCTGCAAAAGAGAAACTGTTGTGGAAGCCCTGCATTGAATTAACATTTATTCCATGAATACAGTAGATGTGGGGGAAAAGCCATTATGAAAGAAAAAGGCACAATCATAGATTTCATTATTATTGCCTCACTGAAAAAAAATCTATCTTCTTTTGGGGCTTGTCATAGTCTTATTCCTGTCAGCTCACAGTAAGAGTGGAACAGTAATCCTTTGGGAAAAAAAAACAAAGTGACAAATACATATCGGAATTACTTGTTGCACGTGATGTTAAAGAAGATTAAATCTGTAAAATACTACCGAATGTCCTGAACATTTTTTAGGAGTATCAGAGTCGGAATAGTTCATGAATATGAAATAAAACCAAGCTATACTCAGCCTGCTTTTGGTTAAAAATATTCTGAAATTCTCTTGCCCATATACTGCTGTCCCACCTCTTACCCATACCACAGTCTCTTCAGGTACTTAACAGTGAAAAATAGAGCTTGATGAAAGTAGAACAAATCAAATACTTTACAAATATCTCATCTGTTGCAGAGCACCTTCATGTCCCTGTACTCCCGAGGTTTCTCGTGCACTGCTGGAATTCAAGGTTGCTGCTTTCCTCCTGATGCATGTATCTTCTACGCCCCAAAACAAACTTTGCTAGGAGACACAAGACTATTTAAGTGTTTTTAAAAGTAATGAAAACTAAAAATAATTTTCTAATAGTGACAATTCTGTTTAGCCTGTGTGAGCTCACGTACTCACATGCTAACAGGACAGCAAAGCTTTCAGAACCAATTCAAGCGAACTCTTAAGAGCAAACTTTTTTCTGATATCAGTCAGTTCCTAAGAAATTAATGAGGACACTTCCATACATGTTGCCATCCGCCTGAAAGGTTAGCCTTTGTAAATATTTCATCATAAGAAAAAACAAGAGAGAATTTTAGCAATGTGAGCGTGGTAAACATGTTTTTCCCTTGCAACAAGTGTGCAGCACAGTAAACATAGCATTACGTGCCACTACGCGACACAGTAAATTAATAGTTTCAAACACAGACATTAAACAGTAAGTAAAGCCCTCATATACGTGTTGAGGGAAAAAGACATTTAAAAAAATCAAGCGCGGCTGAGAACTATAAAATACATAATTAAAATACAAGTTATGCAAAAAAAAAAATCTGCAAAAGAACTTCCCGTGTTTTACAGGATTGTATTTTTGTGGGTTTTTTCCAAGAAAGCTCCTCATAACAGTAAACTGTCTGTAACGGATCCAGTGGTAAAAATATTATTCTGAGTTAGCCTAAGAGACCACAGGCAAATGCTCAGAAAAAGGTGATTAACAAAGGCTGCTTTCATTCTGAAGGCCTGAAGATTTTCTGATCTGTAAAGTTTGCCTAAGCACAGGCTACCTATATAGACGCTCCCTAAGGCAGAAGTGTTCCACACCTGGAAACAAAGTCAACCTCCAAACATTAGCCTGAAACGGAGAAAAGCTGACAGTGTGAAGAAAGAGAAATGAAGAGAAAGCAAAGAACTTTCTGTGAAAAGCCATTCCTTTTCATGCCAGCCTATTTTAGTACGTTAGTGAAGCTACCATATTTTGATCTATTTGCTTCAGCATAACTTTAGTATGGTTAAAACCCACTCCTCAAAAGAGCAGAACAGGGAAATAAGCAGACACGCTTATTTCTGGTAACAGAATAATCTTTGAACTTCTCTCCCAGTCCTTTTGCCTCCAAATAAAGCTTCTGTTTAGAAAATGCGGTATAAAGTTTCTTCAATAATTAGCAGGTAAAAAGTGAACTACCGTTTAGATCATCAAAAAGCCTCTATATAAAAGAGGATGGCTGGTACAGAAAACAAGAAACATCCTGCTGGGGTCGTTCTGGAAGTGCAATGCACTTCCAGTAACGTACACAGGCACCAACTCACATGAGAAATAATTTCAACAGGAACAGAATAAATAAGCCAAAAAAACTGACACATGTAGATATATTTAAATTGGAGGTTTCTCCAATTCCTTTAAAAATATTCATCAATAAATATAATTTCTGTAAGATCAATGGCAACATGCAAAGAAACTACTCAATACAGTCAAGTAAAAGCTGCAACATTAATTTAAAATTACCCTTTATTTTTCACAAGTTTTTCCAACACGTTGTGCATTTTGGCACGGTAGACTTTGAGATAGTTTGCTTCAAGTTTCTTTAAATTACAAACAGTAGATACAGTAGGAATATTTTAAACTGATTTCTTTAAAATAAAAGGCAAGTTAAGACCTTTAGCTTTAAAAGACAGACTGTCACAATTTCATTTTCCTGACACAAAATTCAAGTAATTTTAAAAGTAGAAAACCGTCTTTATAAAACATCCTATTATGAAAATTTACCAGCGTTCTGAAAATAAACATCAAATTTCCAGTATCAATTGGGTGCAGTTACACATTTAGAAAAATAACTCATTTTAAATGAAGGTCACTTGGTGAAGAAAAGTAAATTTTCAACAGGATGAGCTTTTAAAACAAATGATAAACCATTTTTTCTTAGCTAAATTATTAAATCCTTGCTCCGTATTCACAACAAATTTATTTTTTCTTCTAAGGTGTACATTTCAGTATTGAAAATGAATTAAGAAAACAGACTGCTGAGATGTTTTCCCTTCAATATATACTAGCATATGGAATTATTGCTTATCCCCAACAACTGTATACAAGATCCACTTGATTTTGTTTTTATGCTGTGTTTTCTAACTGGTTGGTACCGAATATACACACACCACAAAAGCTTTAGCTGTGTCACTTTACTGAATGAAAACCACAATAAATTTTTCAGATAACTTTGTATGTAGGGTTGTTTGGGGTTTTTTCCACAAAGAAATGGATTAATTACAAAATGCTTTTCCATTTTTCCTCCTTACCTACTTTTTAAGACAGCAGAATGGAAAAATAAGCAGGACATGTTTACTTTATGACTAAAGGCTCAGAGCAGATATTGAGAAATCTTCAACAATTTTAGAACATTTTCTTTTTTTTCCTTCTTTTAGCCCAAAGTAACTTTGCTGTCTAGGAACAGTAACTTAAAGTTTCTTTTATCACCATCTTCCAGAAGAAATCTATAAATAAATGTTTATGTAAAGAATCAAACACTGCTGAAGAGGGCAAAAAAAAAATTAAAAAAATAAAATTAAGGATCAATAAATGATACTGCAATGTATCTTGTGCCATTCAAGATAGGGAGTCCTTCATGTAAGTGAGTAAGTCTTCCTGGGTGCATGAAACTCCATCCTTTCCTGGGAGACTCAATGGAGCAGTTGTACCTAAGAAATTTACATCCACCTCCCTGCAGCAAAAACAGAAACAAAACAAAACCCCAGACATTTACCTTCTGTTTTAATTAAGGTCCTTTTTATTTACCCACAACTTCAAATATTTTGATATTATTAATTGGCTGTTAACAATCACTTTTTTTTTTTTTTTTTACTATCGCTGAAAACAGGGTTGTTTAAAAGACACCATCTTCAGAGCGATACAGAACAGAGATGTATTCGCAATCAAAGATTTCCCCTTGCTTTGCTTTAACGTTCCCTGGGTAACAACTCATTCAAGCAGCAACTCTGACAAACAGATCTTCAATAACTTTACTGTAGATGATACCAAGGAGAAGCAAATCATGTTCACAGGCCCTGTTCCAGGACAGCTTTTAAACAAATGGTAAATAAATTAATTTCGCTGCTGCTTTCACACTGCAGGTGTGTTTTCTAAAGTAATAAACACACTTACGGGTGTTAAGTATAAATGTGATTAATATAGGCTTATAAACAAAACAGGTTAAGTTTTATTTGAATCAGTATCAGAGTAGGAAATACTTTATCTCGGAAAAAAAAACAAAACAATACAACAAACAACCCAAGAACAACTGAAAAATTTCATTCTGTGGCTTATCTAAAAAAAGAATCATTAAAGAAGTTGTAAAGAAAAGAAGCCATTTGAGTCAACTTGAGACTATGTAAAGTATTTTGAAAAATTGTTTTTCACTGTGCATAAATGAAGCATTTCAGAAACGTTAAAAATGAAATGGGTAACATCTCCAAAGTTTTTCATTAAACACCTTCTCCCCCACCATCTGAAACCATTTTGACCAATTCAGCCTGACTGTATCAACAGCTCTGGATCCTGCAATTGAGCAAATTTAGTACTTGTCAAAAAAAACCAAGGAATAATATATCTCAACTTGTGACGCACATCTTTTCCTTTTCAACATGGTCTTTAAATATATCCATTTGGGCTTTAGTTTGGAAACAATATTAGACAGTCAAAGGACATTTTTTTAAGTCAGTAAGTTGTCAACTTACTTGAAAGTCCTCTCCTACTTTGTTGAGAGCGATGTTGATTGTGAATGTAGAGGAGTCATGATGAGGTCTGAGTGCCCGTTGTCTGTCAGGACTATATTTTACAACAAAATTCAATAAAGCATACCCCTGAAACAAAATATACAATCAGACTTCGACACGTGAACTTCCCAGTCACACAGGGTTCTTGGGAGTTTTTTTGTTTAAAGTCGAGTTAACAACAACATTAATCTATAACTACTGCTACTTCATGTATGAACTTCCCAACCAAACCAAATAGGGTACATTCTCAATAAAATGCTTAGAAGTGCTCATGACATGGAGTAATTGCGTGCAAAAATTTTAAACACATACCTTAGTATAATAGCCAGCAAACACTTTTAGCGTTACTGGTGCAATGAACTCTCTTATGAAATGCAGCCATTCATTATCCAGTCCGATTTGCTTCATATGAATATCATCAGTTGGGACATTTTCATAACCTCCAGAAATACGGCTGTCCTAATGAAAACACCATAAATAGCCTTGAAATACAGGCATGGAATGCTTCGGGCACTTCTACAAATATTTATATGAAATCTGCAGAATCACAAAACTGCAACAAAGCAATGCTTTCGTGGGCATATGTGAGCTTGCTGTACAGTAATTTCACAGCCAACTGCCATGGAAAAAAAAACTGCTGAGCAAAAATTGGAAGTTTTTTTAAAGGTGAGTCAATATTTGGATGTGTTGGCTATAAATAAGGGCTTCCTGGGGTTTTTTTATTGAGATGTAGATGCAACTGAAGTTGTATCAAATCAAGGGAGTGTGGGCCTCAACTTCACACGGTAATAAATGCTGAAATAATTTGAAGATAAAAGTATGTTAAAATCCTTCCCGGAGGCGCCTCCCTGCAGTAAAATAATGACTGTAATTTATCTCGTTTCCAAGGTACCGCATTTGTGAATATGACAAACATTTATCTGATTTAATCAGTAGTTAATGAATACCTTGAACTTTCTGCAAACACAAACACAATAGCTCATAATGTTTGTGGGTTACTACTTAGAGGGACAACTCTGACAAATTAGCATTGAAGAGGCAAACGAGTAAAACTTCTCTGAACACTTATCAACAGCTATCCAAGATCAGCCTTGGATAACTGTCAGATAACTATGAGAACAACTGCACCACTGTTAGCGTCTGAATACGCATGTTCAAGGTTAATAGAGGAACGTCCCTAAATCTACTGAACAAGCAGCTATGTGGTAGACTAAACTAAGCACTTTGTACCATGAAGCAAATGTCTCGGCTCATTGGCAACTGTTGGAATGTTTGTTTGTTGCAGTACACTGTGACTTATTATGATAAAGGTACTCACTCATCAAGGTAACGTTTGTATAGGCTAATACTTACTTGGTGTTTTCCACCAGACCATTGTCCAAAATGTTCCATTTCTTCTACCAATTCATCACAGGCGGTGTCAGAAAAAATGGGAAACCAAAACACATCTGGACATGGCTACAAAAGCAAAAAACAAACAAAAAAAAAATTTAAAGAACTATATTCACCTCTTTCAGTGGAGTTAAGCTTTAACAGCTATATTTTATTTTCAAATAAAGACATCTTCACTTTTCTTGGTCACTCAAGAATATCAGCTGTTCTCATCTGAGAGATCATTCAGACACATGGAAGTAATTAGTTTTTTTGTCTTGAAGCATAACAACATCCTCACAGAATGAATCAAAAACTATGAGTTACCTTGTAAGCCATTATCCAGTGTTAACAGCTACCTCAGTGTACCCACATATTCTGAGCCTTGGTTGCTCTAAATAGCAACCTTAAGCTTCTACATTACAAGCTGTTAATAAAAACAGTTTAAAACTTAAAATTGTTTTAAACACAATGCCAATTTCTCCCACCTTCTTAGGGAAGCAAAGATAATTAAACCTCTGTCCTTAATTGTCACAGAACTGATCATCCAACACTAGTACAAAAATTGGGCTCCGGGGAGATCTTATTGCGGCCTTCCAGTACCTAAAGGGGGCCTACAGGAGAGCTGGGGAAGGACTTTTTACTAGGGCATGTAGTGACAGGACAAGGGGGAATAGATATAAACTGGAAGAGGGCAGGTTTAGATTAAACATTAGGAAGAAGTTTTTCACTTTAAGAGTTGTGAGGCACTGGAACAGGTTGCCCAGAGAGGTTGTTGAGACCCCATCCCTGGAGGTGTTCAAGGCCAGGCTGGACGTGGCCTTGGGCAACCTGGTCTAGTGGGAGGTCTCCCTGCCCATGGCAGAGGGGTTGGAACTCGATGATCTTTAAGGTCCTTTCCAACCTAAACCATTCTATGATTCTATGATTATCATCTTAGAAGTGCTCTGTCCAGATCAGTTGCATGAAAGCAAGTGGCCAAGCAAACAACCAACAAAAAAACCCAAAGACCTCACCTTGGATTCATGGTTGTCAGACCTTAGAGAATCCATAGGGAAAGGCGCAACCCAAAGAAAGTGTTAGGGGAGAGCTTGCCTTTACTAGATACCAGAAAACACAGCAATCTGCTACAGAAATTTTATTGGGCCTTCTGCTAGTGGTACTAGCCAGTTCAAATAAATAAGCTAAATATTTTGGAGAAGGCAATTACTTTGACAACTACATTATTCTAAGCAATCTAGCAATTATTTTTTGGACTCCTCTCATCTAGTTTTCAAAATAGCAAAAATTCGGTTCTGATCCAAAAGATCAAAACGCTGTTCAGCCACAGACCAAACCAGCATTCGCATGGAAATAGCTACTGTATGCCAACTTATTATCAGTCAGTCCCACAAATTTTAAGAAAACTACTTATACCCACCTGTTCTACTATATTATCAGTGAAGATCTTTGAGTAGTTGGGATTTATATAGGTTTCCTTCCAGTCCTAAAAGAGAAGAGAAAATATTTTAAAACATGAAAACAGACGAAATGAATTTATAAGTAACAAAAAATCATTTATATTCTATTCATTTGCTAGACTGGAAGCATTGGAAACAATTAAACAATTTCCTATATCCATAAACAAACTGGTTCTCGTCATGGCAAAAACCATGACACCTATTACATCAGGGTCGTATCTCCAACTCCTTACTCTGGTCACCAGTTGGCTTGTTGACATGATACATTCTCATTTGCTTAAACAGGGGGTAGATAACACCTTTTAGTATGGAACCAATACTTAGTACATAATAAGCAAATGTTCTCCATGTAAAGTCTTTAAATCCCAAGTTCATTATAATACATAAGCTTCACATTTTTTTTTGAATAACTGTTTCATCAATAACTAGATGCGTACCACTGGATTTTCAAATATCTGCCAGAGGTCGTTGTTGTAGTGGGAGGTATTGTAATTGGCCGTAGAAATAAGTCTTCCGAATTCATGTCTGTTGGTAATGTACATGAAAACACCCTATACCAAGTAGAGAAAATATCATTAGCAAAGCAGTCTATCTTAGCAAAAATGATGTTTTTAAAAGGTCTGTTAGTTTATGCTTGCACTTCCATAAAATATATCACACGCTTGTACAAACATATTACACACAAGCTGCTCATTTTGCATCTTTAATTTTCGAATGGTCAATTCGAATCACTATCTAGTGCTCATAATGTCATCTTTACAAGCATTTGGCTGAATTTATTTTCTAAACACATTAAACCAAAACATATACTGTTCGTAATGTAAACCTACATGCAGTTATAGAAAGGAAAAAACAGAGAAGTGGTTGATTGATATGTTTTCCAGAAAACCTAAGCAGGTACACTGGAAGCACGTGCTCTCAAACTTAAAATACTCATACAAGAGTATACGATGTACTCGTACGTCTAGGGTTCAGTTTCTGATTAAAAACTGGAAGAATAATCTAACAATAAAAGGGCTAATGGAAGTCAGAACAAGAAACTTATTTCAGAGTATTCACTACATGATCCGCTGGTGAATTGGCCTGAAATAAAAAAGATATTGGCAAATACAGCATAAAAGAACATTCAGATCAGGGTACAAACCAGCTGAGCACTGTGAAGTATGTTCACCTAAGCAAACACTGCAAAATATATGCAAGATATCAAGTGCGGTAAGATACAGCTTTATTATCAAGCTATTAACAGAAGATATTAACAAAACTCTTGATTATAAATAGTAGCAGAAAATAGTTTTTTTTAAAGAAATTTAGGTTTTGTGGTTGGTTGTTTTTTTCTTAGTTTACTGTTTTTCAGACTAAAACCTCATTTGAAAAGTGTTTGTGACTTTAAGATTTGCAGCAGATGAAGACATTCTTATTTAGGTATTTTGGTATTTCTGTCTACGTTTCTGTCTGAAAAAGAGTGAAACTGTTAGAAAGATAATAATGTTAAACACGTGCCCAGTTTTGGGCACTTACCGAATCATAAAATAGTTGCAGCAGGGAGAATAAGGAGGGTCTGGGTCAAGAAAAACAGCTTAAAATGACACCGATTTCACAACTGCCCTGTGTGGTCACCAAGGGGGTCTGGCTGATCTGTTAGTGATTTGACCTTTAGTCCTTCCTAGGACTGCTGAAACAATTTTAGCTACAGAAGCACAGCTTCAGCACACCTTGACCTCAGAACCACTGAGAAACCTCCCTGAGGAAACACCGAGCCTCTCTAAGACGTTTTGAGCTGGTCATGAAGAACCTGTCCCCGGCAAAGAACTTGAATCTTAGAAGACTGAAGAGAAAGCTAGAGCAGTATTTCATTAGAGTAAGTGGACAGAGGAGAAGTATCTTCTTGTGGTAGGATAATACTGCACGTAATAACAACTAACAAATAAAAAAAAATAAAGCAACACCTTTGGGGGTCTGAGCATATGGAATGTTTCCGAAGAAGGGGAGTCTTTTTCCCTTTGTAAAGTCTAAAATGAAGGAGAATCATCACATCAGTTTTCTGATACATAATCTCTTTCTCTTTTTCCGACTACTATTAGGTTTCCACAGTTACATTAGGGAAATAGCAGCCTTTGATCAAAAGCTGATATGCCTTTACAGACAACATGCATCTCCAAGCAAAGCTCATAATACACATGTCAAAGCTGTTTCCACCAGCCCCTTCTTATCTGCTGCAATACAAAAACAAGCACATACCAGACCATCTTACAGCACAGACTTAGAGAGAGGAAGAGAGAAAGCAGTTTTCTGATGAGCCAGTCAGATTAGTTTAATGAGCGCATGGGAAGCACAGGTTTGCAATAACTGATGCTGAGAAGGTTTGAATACAACAGAATTGGACGGGGATGTTCTGAAGAATCAGTACGAACAAAGGAGATCATGCCTTGTTATGAGGGAATAAAAAAATTAATACTTGCCAACTTTTCTTGTTCAATTCAGCAAAATTATTTTTCAATGCTACAGTGTCTGGAAATAGGTCTGGTTTAGGTCTTATTTGTTTCTGTGCTGAAACTAGTGTAAATATCAGTAGAAATGTGGATTTATATATTCATATTTTTACAGTACAAGTAAGTTTTCTCTCATTACTTACAGCTTAATGCAAGTAACACATTTCTGATACAGTCTTAATCTATCTGGAAAAATAAATGAGTAATTCATGCTCCCTAAGAAGATTCGTACAATTTCATAAATCACTTAGGCTTTTTATACCAACGCTGCCCATCACTAGTTCAAATACTTTTAATACTATTTAAATATAAAATTGCAAAATATTCTAACTTAGTCTGTTAGAAGTTTCACACTGTATAAAAATGTGTATAATAGAGATGCTCTAAATGCATTGATAAGTTTGAAGTCATACACAGCAGAGAAGTTGAGCCTTCTTCCATCCTGTTGAGGTTGCGCCAACAAGAAAGGTATCCTAACCTCAACAGGAATTTTCAGTGCATTTAAATAAAAACCATCAGGCAGTCAGTGCACCAGGGCACTGGCCTGGCAAAAACCTCTGTTCTCACCAATTTAAAAAAAATACACCTAAAATGTTCTATGTCACAAAAATTGGCCAGTACTTTGAATTAGAAGTAAAAACATAATATCTAAGACCAATCAAGTGAAGCAGTCAAGTGTAGCAGGACACAAAAGAAGTCTGTGTGTATTTAAAAGCAAGCTGTTATAGATACACCTTACCATT